AGACCAAGTACAAATTCTTTTATTTTATTTTTTGCTTCGTATTTATGCTGTGTTACTCCATGATTATCATTATCGAAAAGAACCAACTCTTTCGGATGACCTGCAGCTCTGTACAATTGTTCACTGCAACGATAAGATAGACACTGATCGCCTTTACCATGAATAAATAAACATGCTTTGCCTGAAGTATTAACAAAAAAGAACATTAATAGTGAATTTTTGTTGTTTTTTAAAATATACCTTGCTGTCCTAAATGACTAACGCTATCGGTACCAGCAGTTTGAGATGCTACTGTTGCAATTCCTCGAACCACATCACGCATTGATCCTGCCGAGATTACTACAGCTCCTAAACAGAAATACTTAGTTTTGATAGTGAATAATAAACTCTTGACAACAGTATATTTTAAAAAGATTTTTTGTTTTCTTACTTCTCACCTCCGAATGACCATCCAATTAGAATAGCTCGTTGAACTTTGTATCGTGATGTCAATATATCCAGTGTTTCGATAGTATCCTCCACACATGGTTTTAGATCTCCTGGATATCGATAATCCATCTGAATGGCAATAATGTTTGGATAGCTAGATAATTCCTGACTCAGCTCTGGATACATTGCGGCTAGAAAAACAAAGAAGATAAAAACGACCCATTATTATATGTATAAAAAACGTTTTCTTCCAAACTAACCTGGTCCGGTCATACCACCTCCTGCTCCTGCAACCATAATGACTGCGCCAATTGGATAATTACATGACAATTCTAACTGATTCTGTTTAAGATTTTCAGGTAGTTTAACTCTCAGTTGGGCTTGCCGCTGACTGCTCATTTTGAAAAGAAATCTGAAAAACATAAAATACTTCCAAATCCATTTTTTCAAAAAAATCAAAAGAAAGAGATTATTAATCAAGGTGAAGAAATTGTTCATAACTCTATAATTTTATTCTAAGCTATTCTAATTGTATGATCAGTCAGAGACAAAAAGAATAAAAGATTTTAGCTCTGAAAGTTCATGTAGCTTTTCGAAATGTGGGCAGATGTATTACCATTCGCTATCAAAACTATATAGTTTTATTTAGAAGATGTAATACCCTAAATGGCAATAACTTTGTTGAATACTATGTTCTCGATTTGAGAAAGCGGTAAAGAATACCAGAAATTTCTGTTGATGTGCAGGTTTATAATAAATGTCGGTTATTTTTCTAGAACACAACAATCTATGGTCGAATCAGATTGTCCATATGAATCTCTCTGAATAATTCGAAATCAATTGGCTTAAAAGCAGCAAATCATAGATTGTAATTTTATACTATCGTCTTAAAAGTACTCTGAAGATTGTTGTTTTATCAATATTTTTAAGTTACTCTTAACTTTAAGCATAAGCACATAGGGCTCGACTTAATTTTAGTTAAAGGTTGGCTTAAATCTTGGTATTTTCATCAAAACTCTTAAGTGTCAACTTAACTCTTCGTTTTGACGTTTTTTTATATGAGCTCTACTTAACACTAGAACGCCCGTAGCGGTCATTTTGACCGTTTTTTGATTTTTAGCCCTAATGAAACAAACTGCATACAATTTACTTAAAAATAAATTATGTCATAACTTTTAATTTGTCCCACAAAAAACAGTTTTTGCAGAATTTTTAATTCATTTTTGAGTTCAGAACCGTTTTTAATTATAAAATTAAAAATGAAACTTAGTAATGGTCAAAATGACCGTTTAGGGCGTTCTAAGTCATGAAAATTTCCGGGCATTCTAGTGTTAAAACCAGGGTGGCCACTCTCGAAATGAATAGCTATGAAAATACCGGTAAAATAAACTCCATGTGGTGATCTTTCTCTCTTTTTCTGTGTTTTACTTGTAAATCAGACCTTCTCATTACTTGCTTAGTAGACAAGAGTCACAAGCGTTTGTGAGAATGAAAATTTTGTTTATCCAAGAAAAAACTGCTTGATACTCTCCTGTTTTTCTCCTGAGTTTGGAAAAATACTCTCCTGATTTTCTTCTTGATTTTTCAGAAAAAATCTCCTGATCAACTCCTGATTTTTTACGGAAAAAGTCCTGATTTCTAAAAATTGGATTTGGTCCACCCTGCTTAAAACATCGCCAAAGTTGTTTTAAGTCAATGCTGGAAAAGCTACACACGAAAATAACTAAGCGTTGACTGTATTTAAGTTTATCAACGTAAGAATATGGGTGAAATGGTCCCTGCAGTGTAAAAAAATGATTGCGACTTGGTACGACTTTTCAATGTATTGAAAATTGAGTGCCCAATACGGTGATGATATAGCTGGAGTTTCTAATAATTAGCATAGAGAGCAGAATCAAAGCGTTCGGTACGTGAACTAAACTGAAAATACGCTTTAAGTCTAATTTTAGAACGTATTGCGTACGCCACGAAAAAGTCTACGCATGAGCTTTGGGAAAGAGCTAGAGAGCATTTTACTTCAAATTTCATCCTTGGTATTCTTACAATGCTATTGATTTTGTTTATTTTAGTTTTAGATAAATCATCAACGAGAAAATACAAAGAATGGCACTGAAGTCGGGATAACTTTTCTTCAACTCATCGTTTTTGTTTTTGAATTTTTTTGGCTTGTAAGATCAGTGTTCCTAGTGGAAATTTAATCAAAGTTAATTACTGCAGTCCTCCCCTGCCCACGCAACATTCAGGTTTTTCTCGGTAGAAATAGAATAAATGGTACATTCCCAACACAACTCACTTTCTTCTCGCTTGACTTATGAATTATTAAATCACTATATAAGATTTGCGCATGAACAGTTGGCCATTTCTTTGTTGAACAATTGTATCATGCTGACAAGACTGAGATTTTTTTGTTGCCTTAATTTTGTGTGAACATCACTTTACTTTTTTTATTATACCGTACTAATAAATGACACGAATCGATTTTTTCTTGTCAGTAGAGCCATTTTTTTTGCTTGCATACTTTAAGCTCGACCTCACAATGTACATGTACATTTTATTTTCGAATTTTAATATAAAGACTGAATACAAAGACAGAATTTTTGTATTCAGCGTTTCTTCACACTGAAGAAAACGATAAAAGTGAGATATTCATTTTTCATTAGTGAGACATTTGTGACTAGAAGTGTTACAATACCACACTTTTTTTGCTGAAAAGTTCCCAGTGAAATTAGTCAGAGTATGTGAAGGAGCTAGTTGTCTAGGTTTTACACCTAAAGTATTCTTATTAGTAAAAGTTGAGTATGCTACACCTGTAATGTGATTTTTCGAGACATAATAGATATGACTTCGAAAGCACGCATCATAATCTTCTTTTCAGTAGAGAGCACTATTTCTTCTCGCTTTACTAGAATAGAGAGTTTCTCAAACGGTTTGATAATAAATTAGAGAATAATCACTTTGTTGTTATACGTACTTAAAGTTTAATTATTAGCTCTTAGTTTCAGATGGATTTTTGTTTCTAAACCTCATGATAACCAAAACAAGTTATTTGTAATTCGATTTATCTCTAGTTTTTTGAAAATGGTATGGTTATCAGTTTTCTACACTTGTATAATAAAAGAAAAAATATTTCTCTTTCTATCTCTAGAGTGCATATTTAAAAGATCTTCCATGTTATAATCCTGAAAATTTTAGTCGTTTTCATTCTGGAGGCATGCGAGAAAGGGTAAGTCTGGAAGTGAAAAACAGCATATTATTCACTCAATGATTACTTCATCTTTTTTAGATTGTGCGACCAACATATACATCTCAAATCGATACCAATGCTAAAGGTATGATTTCAATAGTATAACATGACAACCGATGTGACTACTAATATTCTACTTAGAAATCGTAAATGATCCAGTACCGATGTTGATCCACCGATTATCTAAAATACCAGTAAGTTGTTGAATATTTTTGATTACATCACAGATATCGCATCGATTGAGAATAACTTCTGACATTAAACTTCCACTCAATCTCTAGATGTTTCCACAACACAATAAAACTGAAAAATAAAATACTAATAACTCAGAAATCGAGAAAATTCTTTTTTGTTTTATCTACATATGGCTGGATAGCAGAGCTCCATACGGGATACGTTTTCATTGGTCCGGATCTGACTAAAATTTTCGTCGGCCTGGTCGACCTGGCTCATCAAATATTCGAGAAATTCTAGCAAAATATAAGGATGTATGTATGTTGACACGCATGGCAAATTTCCATCTCTGGTTATCGTCGACTAGTAATTGTAATATACGAATTATAAACAAAACAAACATGAAAAAAAATGGTTTAGTTTAAAGATTGTTTGTATTAAACGAACAAAGAGTGCGGAACCTGTTTGGTAGTAAAGACCACTGTCAGAAATATATATTTTTTCATAAAACATCGATGCGGATGTGCTTCTTCACTAAAAACGTTTGATAAATGGAATCGATTCAACACCGATTGCGTGTATACACGCATGTATGATCATATACTCTCGAATTAAACTCATTCATTGTTTTCATACTCGTTCACAATTTGAAATTGTCGGTTTCATGAATCTTCAGATAAATGCCGACACATTAATGCATAGGTTAAACATTTAAACTAATCGTTTATTTTTTTATAAATATGCAATTTATAACAAAAACAAAAATATAAAAAATAATGAAGATAGACTCTCATTATCAAAGTACAGCTCTAGCTTAGCTAGAATAATAACTTAATTCTTTCACGCGCTTGCAGAAGCTACCTGTACACGCTTACTGCTGTGTTACTCTATGATTATCATTATCGAAAAGAACCAACTCTTTCGGATGACCTGCAGCTCTGTACAATTGTTCACTGCAACGATAAGGTAGACACTGATCGCCTTTACCATGAATCCCCAAATCAATTTTTTTCTTTGCCGCTCTTAGAGTTTCCCAAGATTCTCACTCATTTTAGATGATAGAGAGCTCAAAATTGTTGTTTTTTAGAAAAATGCTACCACTTTGGCGGTACAGAGCCGGATTTTTGTGATTTTTTATTACTAATTAATACGAAACATTTTTCGTCAAAATCCAAAAAGCTTCTTTCGAGTTTTTAAGAAACCGTTAGTTTTCATTACCTTCTGGAATGAAACTCAAAAATCCGGCTCGGTACTGTCAAAACGACAGCATTTCTCTAAAAAACGAAACCATCCCAGTCTGCCTATCATCTAAACTGAGTGGGAATTTGGACAAAGCTTAACTACTCTGTTTTTACCACTGTTGTGTAGGGATAAGCCCTTGAAGCGGTTCGCCCATCCCATGCAAAGCCCTTCTCGATAGAGCACATCGAGTTACCTAAAGAAATCATAGTTTTAATTTAGACTAAGTTTATAACGAAAAATTTAAGAATATTGAAGTTTTAAAGTTGGATAAAATTTCATGGAAAAAACAAGCAAAATTTCCAACCGTAGTTTTTCTTCCCAAACTATTTTCATCTAATTCACTATAGTATAAAGAACTAACTTCGATACCAATAGAACCTAAAGTTAAACACGAGCAGAACCGCTAAATTAAAGGAGAGCAATTGCAAACATTTTTTTTTCGACTCTGATCCTGTAAGGACCCCTCGAAGAATGAGACTTCGGACGCTCGATATAAGTGTTCGAGGAGTTATCGATTTCGGGCCCTCGAGAAAAGTTCCGAGCCGTTGAACAGAGATACGCGGGACTTCCGAGCCCTCGTCGTTCCAGGATGCGACGAGGACTCAGAAGTCTTTTCGTCTACTTGGGTCCCGAACATCTCTATTCGACGGCTCGGAATTCTTCTCGAGGGCACAAAATCGATAACTCTTCAAACACTTATATCGAGGTCCGAAGTCTCATTTTTCGAGGGATCGAGCCCTTGATGGAGGCCCATCAAAAGCGTATTTTCGGGTACTCGAAATACTCCTCGAGCAAATGGTTAGATAATTCGTTTACTTTTAACTTTATTTTTTCGATTTTTTTTGCAGGAAGGGACGTGAAAGAATTCTCTCTAAGCCAGTCTAAATACTTTCAAGAGTTACCTACTCAAAGTCGCTTCTCCGTAGCTTTTGCAATTATCCCAAGCGTGATGATTACAAACATTCACTTGTATTCAACGGAAAAAGGACTCACCAGTAAATATTTTTCTCATTAAGTTAGTGAGATTAATTAGTGCTATATTGACATTCTTTGACTTTTTTACGTTTCTTATAAAACTAAGTATATTTAATATAATTGAAAATTGATTTTGAAATGATTTTCGTTCTCCCCTGTTTCAACTAGTATATATATGCATCTCTCTTCTAAATTCACAGTCATATTAGCCTGATGATGATACTGTGAAGTATCGAAAGCTCGCTTTTTTGTGNAATGTTTTTCAATTATATTAAATATACTTAATTAGTGCTTTTTGCACAGATAGATGAAGAAATTATTCTTGTGTAGTCGCTGAAAATCTTCCAGTTCCAGTCATTAGTTAGCCTGAGACCTAACTAAAAGAGTAGATGAGAAAAATTTGAATATTTTTGCAATCACCCCGCTTGGGATAATTGCAAAAGCTGCGGAGAAGCGACTTTGAGTAGGTAACTGTGAAAATTTTTAGATTGCCTTAGAGAGAATTCTTTCATGTCCCCCCTGTAAAAAATAAAAAAACAAACTTAAAACTAAACGAATTACGCTAATTATATGATCAGTGAGTCGAAAAAAAATGTTTACAATTCCTCCCTCCTTTACTCTATTTAGTTCGGTGTCTCCAGCTGACTGTCAACTGTCGAATCAGAATCTTCGAATTTTTTTTCACTCGGACAAAGCTTAAAATTACATCATTAGACGCCGTTTTTTTTTCACCTGGATG